TCGTACATAAGACCATATTGGAGTGAAAGAGAGAGATTCCACTATTTATCAGCTTCCCACCGGAATTATTTCGATAACTCAAGGAAGAGTGGATTGTGTGAGAAATAATTCCGGTGGGAAGCTGAAAAATAGTGGAATCTCTCTCTTTCACTCCAATATGGTCTTATGTACGAAAAAAATAATTCCGAACGATTTTGTCGGAAAGTCGTAGAATACCGGCACAGTTGGTTTGGTTTAACTAATATGCAATCAATTTTTCTCTAACAAAATACTAACGAAATCCACACTAATTGCAAACAATGGTTGTATTGCTTCACGTTTTCCACCTTTTTTCCAGTTCTTTATTATGAAAATGCATTCACCTTTTCGAAAGTGATTTTCCACGTTTTTACTAACAATCGATTTGAATGAAACTGACCAAAAAAACTAACATTTTCAAACCAGAATTAGAAAGGAAAAACAGGCAAATTGTCTTTAACTTGATTGGTTTTGTTTTTGTTCGTTTTGATTTGATTTGAATTCTTTGGTTTATGATATTAATATTCAATTGCACTTGTCCATTTAGATCTGGAGCTCAAGCACCGCCAATGTACACCGAAATGTTACCAGGCGGCCAATTGTTGGCTTTGATTATCCCATCGTTGACTGAAACCATGGAAGGCACATACTATTGCTCAGCTTCATATGCCAACACTGAACCCATCGTAGCTAGTGTTGACATTCAGACTTATGGTAAGTAAAAATTTGCTTGGAATTCAATACGAACGATTCAAACGATTTTCATTGCAAAAATAAATCGTTCTCCTTTTCAAATAGTCGCAATCACATGGAGAAATGCTCCTGAATTCCAATATCCAGTTGCTGGCAAAGACCACGTCGTTCAATGTGAAGTATCGGCAAATCCGGCTCCCACAGTAGATTGGCTCCGCAACGGCGATCCCGTAAATACAATTTTTCTCAATCGATTGAAATATTTCGACAGAGAAATGATCAAAGAACAATTTTTCAATTTAAAAATGTGTCAACTTCCAGATTAAAATTGAGCCAGACAGTCGATATGTAATCCAAACGAAAGGTCTTCTGGTGCGAAATGTACAAGAATCCGATGATGGAATTTACACATGCCGTGCAGCCGTCATTCAAACCGGTGAATTGGTTGAACGAAATATTCGCGTTGAGGTGCAAGTATTGCCAAAAGTCCAACCATTCACAATGGAATTGGAAGGTGTCGAAGATCAGCCATTCTCGGTGAAATGTAACGCAACTGGTAAACCAGTACCAACATACACATGGATCAAAGACAGTGAACAGTTGAACGTTGAAAATGCGGACAGGTAAATTTTATCGAAAATTCGCATCGAGAACGTATTGTGTTATAAATATATTTTTCTATTGGTAGATTCCAAGTGAATGCATTGACCGGACAATTGAGCATATTGCGAGTGACAAAGGACGATTATGGCAACTATACGTGCCGTGCAAAGAATACAGCTGGTGAAGATGAAGCGAAAACTCTTATCAACGTATTGATTCGCCCACGAATTTACGAACTTTGGAATATTACGCGCCCAGAACATGAAGAAGCTGAACTTGTTTGCAAAGCTACCGGTCGCCCGCCACCAGAAATCACATTCAGGTATGTGGATAGATATGAAAAAAACCATATTGACTTTGTGCTGAGGAACGCTCCCGAGCTAAATTATAAATGGAATTTACTTCCCTTTGTGCAGACGCTGGGGAACCACTGATGACTTCATTCCGGGTGCACAATACGGACCACAAAGCTATATTTACTTGGAACAACGCGGTGATGAATACAAAGGTGAATCGACTGGTGTCCTTCGTTTCGAGAGATTGCGACGCTCCGATGATGGTTTGTACGAGTGTATTGCACGTAACAAAGGCGATTCAGCATACAAAGTCGGTCACATCACCGTTGAATACGCACCATCCTTTGAGCATATGTTGGCATTACCACCAGTTTACACATGGAACGAACAAAGAGCTAACCTCAGTTGTTTGGCACAAGGTACAAAAGCAATTTTCAATTAAAATTTCGATGAGAATTCATCAATTTTCGTTCGATTTAATTAAAATTCCATTAAAATTGTCCATTTGTGACACAATTTCAACGTTGCCATTTATTTCCAATTTTGATAGGTTTTCCAAATGCAACAATCGAATGGAAATGGAATGACCGTCCGATTCGTGAATTGAACGATCCAAATATGCAAATTGAAGGAAATGGCCCACGCAGCGATTTGTTGATTATCCCACGTGAACGCCGTTACTACACCGCATACAAGTGTGTTGCTAAAAATCGTCTTGGAACCGCTGAACACATCATGGAACTTCGTGAAGCTCGCATTCCCGATGTCATTCCTCAGGCCAAATCAATTGTTGTGACTGCTACATCAATCACATTTGAAATTTTGTCACCGCCATACGACCCAGGTCTTCCAATCACTGCATTCGCTTCACAATACAAAGACCGAAACGAACCCGACTGGACAAATGCATACAATCGCTCATGGTCACCGGAGAGTAAATTCACTGTTGAAGGTCTTCGACCACAGACTTTCTATGATTTCCGATTTGCTGCACTCAACAAAGTCGGTTTGGGCCAATGGGGTGCATACGTGGCACAAGCTACACCAGTTCGTTCATTCCCTGAATCACCGAAAATTTTGCACAACAAAGTTCAAAACAGCGAAAATAAAGATGAAGAACCACTCGTCGTTTCACCATACTCGGATCATTTTGAATTGAGCTGGAGCATTCCTCCCGGTATTTTGAATGATTTTTAACTTTTTTGCCTAAGCCACTTTTCAGCGTTCAATCGCTTATTTACAACCAGCTTTAAATAGTAATTTTATGAATGAAACTCATGTGAATTTTGTTCATTCCAGATAATGGAGAACCAATCAATTTCTATCAGATCAGATATTGCCCGGTAAGTGAGCGTTGAAGTGAGAAGCGTTCGGAAAATTTGGATGGTTTCATATCAATTTTTGAACATTTTTTTTTTCATAAATCAACTAATTTTTCCATAAAATCTTCTTTTTTCTAACCAATAATTCCATCAACAGGGTCTAAAAGTCGACGGTGCTTGGAATGAAGTCAATCAATTGTGCGAAACAAAGAATGCGCCGCCAAGCGAAACGGTTGGTTTTAAAATGACTGGATTGCGTGGCGACACATACTATCGCATACAAATTCGTGCACACAATGCAATCGGTTTCTCGAAACCAGTGACACTGCTTATGAAAACGGCTGTAGGTGAGTCAACAAATGCACTTGGTTCACTTTTATACTACGGCCATACATCATCAGCCTCCAGTATTTATTATTATAATTTCATCACTCAATTGAACTGTATGATGTTTATGTTGTCTAGTTTTTGTGTATATTTCGGTTTTTATGATCACTAAACCGGTCTATTTAAGTTCATTACGTAATTTTTTTTTCAATTTCTTTTATTTTTTTTTGGGAATATCATTTTTCGAAAATTGAAATCAAAAAGAGAAAATTGAATAGTTTTGTTTACCAGCTCGATTGAAAATGAGCTTGAAATTACGAAATAGAATTAAGTCAAATCCAAAAAGAAAATGACGATGTCGGTGAAAAGGAAATCCACCGCTTAAAATTGAATTTACGGGAAATTATGTCGAAATTTCGTTACACAAAATTAGTGAGAAACAAAAAGAAATCGTTTATGTCTCTCTCATTCGCTCATTCATTCGTGCGTTGCTTAGAAAAAATGAAACGAACACAATTTGATGATTCGATGCAAGTAAAATCAAATTTCGACATAATTCAGTTTCTATTTCCAAAATAATTTATCAATCATTTTGTATATTCTCATCAACTCTTCCGTTCAACTTGATTTACGTTGAGTTTTTGATTTTTGACTCTTGATTCAAAAAAAAAATGGCGTCTGATATGGTATGTTATATTTTTCAATGGGTTCTTTAATATCTCCCCCTCCACTGAAAACATAAACCAATTTCATTTGTTTATAGCCACTGCTCTCTTTCATTTGAATTGTAACCAAATATATGTATTTGTGGTTGTTTCACCGTAATCATAAGGTGTTTTCTTACTACAAATTGGCACATTCCATTCATTTAGACATTTTAATTTCACCTGCCGCTCATATCCATTTCAGTTTGATCCACCATTTATGTGTGTGCATTTTCGGTTCATTCGACTTTTGTTTTGTTTCAAAATCAAACCATGTTGAAACATTAAACCTAAAAAACTCATTATAACACACATATATAAATATATATATCCATATAACACACATCCATGGTACACTCACTCTCACACACACAGAATATTTTCAGAAGCAGCGCCTCATTCACATAAATATCGCTGGTTCTCATTTCATTGTTAGTATAGTAATGTATTTTTGGTGTATGTGTATCTTTCTTGCTGCATCCAGGCGATAAGAGGTATAAAGGTGGCAGTGCCGCTTGTGCACAACACAATCCATGGTTGTTATCATTAGTCTTCACAGCGTTAGTGGCATCGATCATGTTCAGCAATAGTAATCCATTTGCAACGACAGACACACAACCTTTCATGCACTGATTTCGCCAAAAACTTCATCCTAACACAGAAAAAAAAACCAAAAAAAGAATGAAAAAAAATCAAACACAGAAAAAATCTTAACTTTTACATCTATGAATGTTCTCCATTTCTGATTCAATATTAAGTTTTTTGTTATTGTTGTTGTAGTTGAATACATTATGTGAAGAGCACAAAGAAAGAAATGATCAATGAAATGTGTAGCTACCCCAAAGACCGAGGCTCATTTACTTCTTTTTCAATGTTTTTAGCTTTTCGTTTCTTTAACTCTGTGTCTATTTCTTTGTAGCAACTCATTCAGTAGCTTCCAACTGATGCAAGGCTTTTATGCACTTGATTCGAATCAAAAAAAAAAAAAAAAAAAAACGATAAAAGCCTAGACATCTACATATGTCTTTGTTAATTTTAGACAACATTCCATACATTCATTTAGATGTTCACTCGCCTTCACATTCATTCATTCATTTGCCACTCAGCTCATAATCATTTGCACACATATCATGCTGTTGCAATGTTGCATGCCCGAACAAAAAGACGCCATTTTAATTGGCCGTTCTTCGCAAAGGAAATTGGCCCGTCCATTCTCATCAAAACTGTAGCAAACTGTTTTGTTCAACGTATATAAATTTCGTTACATCTTCTTATGCATGATGTAGTTCATCTATCTCTACACTGGATTCATCAAATTTGTTTGTTTTTCCTTCTCTAAGGTGATATCGCAAAAAGAAAAACAAATCGAGCGAATGATATTGATCTAGACAATTTTATTTACAAATCATAAAATATATATTGCATATTTATCATGGAACAAATAAAGTCCATCACAATCATACTCAAAGATGTAGTGTGTGTATGCTGTTGTTCAACGGCTTTCTTTCTGGGGGGAATCACTGGAACGACAGCATGTAGCCTAAGAATTGGACACACAAAAAAATCATTCAAATAACGAATTTAATACATTCTTATTAGATTAACCAACATGAATGCAACCATAGCCAATTTAGACAAAACGCAAATCAATAAAAAAAACTAATTAAAAATCCGTTGAATTGACTTCAAAATGAATGTTCCGTACAAGGGAAATCTTCTCAGTAATGCATCCACATTTTTTTAACGATGAAAACAAATACATACGTAACGATACCAAGTGAACTAGATAAACAATAAAAGTAAACTCGAAATTGCATCGCTTGAGTCGATCATTTCAGAAAATTTTACTCAAAATTTCATATAAATTGAAATCAGAAGCGGGACAAATAACCGAATTTTGCACGGGAGACCAACCTCAAGCGATGCTTCGTATCATATCATGATACATTCAATAAGAAACAATTTGTTTTGTGTTCTATAGCTATGAATTTGTTCAAATATATGTGTGTATTTGTAGTTTATGCATGACTTTCAACTTGAAAAATCCGTTCAAACGGAGTTTTTCTAAAAAACCAGCAAAATTCTAGCAAAATTTCTCTATTGGATCTCACCTTTGGATGAAATGTACCTTTCAAACATTTTTTTTTCTCAAAAAAAAAGAGATTGGGAAAGCTGTGTTTGGATCCATTTATTCAGCTATCCACAAGAGAAGAATAATCTGTTTGTCAGCAGAAAATATCGAAAATTTTGGACAATAAGCTGGTTCCACGTTCATCGATCACAGAAAAAAATCGATCCAGTACATCTTTTACAGCATTTTTACCGATTTTTGTTTTCATAATCGTCTAATCTGTCGGACTTGAATGCTTTTACAACACATTTAATCGAAGATTTTTTTTCTGTTTGGCGTTAATTCCGTGTAAATGACGCAAAAATGAAAGCATAGAATAAACTACTTTACGAATAAGTTTGCTTCACAAAAAATGCCTTAGTTAGTGAAAATATTTAGTTAGTTTCAAAAGTTCGATAGTGAAAAAAAATAGATTTTTCTTTCTTTGTAATGAAGATGATGATGACTAGGAAACATATAGTTGTTGAATTAGAAGGAGCCGTTCAATTATATTGTTCAATTAGATTACGAATTTTTTTACGCATACGAATCAATTCCAATCTCTCTGTTTTTACAAGTGTTTGCCGAATGTATTTAATAATAAAAACAAGTATTTAAGGGATGTTTACGAAATAAAACGAATAATTGAGGGAGATCTTTTAAATAAAAAATCGGTGTGTACAAACAGATATAACAAAATATAAACGATATAGCATTTATCATGATATTAAAAAAAAAGAAACAAAGAGAAGATAAAATGACGGACTTTTAACAAGCGCAACAACAACGAAAAAAATATTTGCAAAGAATTGAATCAAAGATTTGTTTTTAAGTCCGAATCGTGTACCAAATGTCATTTAACGTTGGATACGAACACAAGAACCAATCCAAGATGTTAGCAATTAACGATCAATAAATTAAACTATACGATTGCAAGTTTTCATTTAGAATGTAATTAAAAGCAACAAAACTTAAAGCGAAACAATAAATAAACTCGTTTTTATCTATTACGTTTTAAACCGAATCAAAAAAAATGTCGCGTATTCCGACGAGAAAAAAAACAAATGAAAAAAAAAGTCTTTTTCCACTGAGATCCACCACAAAATCCTTCTCTCTGTGTCGGAAAGCCGTTGTTGCCCTTCCATTCCACCGCATCAGCATAAAACTCGACTCTCTTTTTTCTCTTGTCGTTTAAAACTACCAACCAATTAGATTTTTTTTTCCATATACGAGTTCACTTATCCTCAACAAGAAGGTAAATAACTTGCGTTTTTTTGCTTTATTTTTCTCTATGGACTCTACTCCTTTGATTTAGCGGTTTTTCTCCCATCTTGAATGCTAAAATAGTTTGTAGATTTAACGCACAGTCACAGCAAAAACCTTGTCCCAATTCCAAAAATCTATCTTTTTTGTAAATACATTTCTTTATACCCTCCCTATACATGTTTTAAGAGCATATGAGACACTTAAAAAAAAACAGCCAACACAAACAAAAACGCCGCACCAAATGCAATTGAAACTCAAAGAACTACAAAATGAATGCAGTGACGACAAAAAAAACACACAAACACACTGAACAGTGAACACACATAAAAGCTTATGCATGAATTGAAGCTAATTGGCGCTTTTCATGTACCAATGTGAGCGCAATTACAAGGAATTTCGTGTCATTCCACTGCATTTTTCATTCACTGCGACCGAACGGTGAAGTGCATAATTAGACTGGATTGAAAAACGGTGCTAAAGTGCTTTAACTACTCTCTTCTTTCAATTGCTCACATGTTTACTACTATTTGTCATTTGCTTGAATGAAACCCCTCATTTTTTTGTTCCAAATGGATATAGCATCCGGATGAACAGTGCTACAAATAATTGCGATAAATGAAACCTCTAACAAAAAAAAAACTAATTTTTAGGCAGAAAAAAAATACACGAGAAAATCAAATGATGCGCTTTAGAGTTAAATTTGAATGTAATTTTAAATGTTCAATGTAAATATTGATGAAGTCCAATGGTGTTGGATGTTGATAGTTTTTACCAAAAAAAATGGTAATGGTAATTAGGTATATCTAAATTTTGTTAAAAACAAACACATATTTTTGATGTTATTTTCTTTGAATTTAATGCGAATTTTAATTGAACTAGCTCATTTGCGCTTAAAAACGGATTTTTAATTATGTTTAGGATAAAATAGACGAAAAAAACTGATTCGTTTTTTTTTGTTTCAAAAGAATTATCAATCAAAATTCAAATTAACATTTCCATTGTGGTGATTGGGAATTAGTCATGCGAAATTCAATCAACATTTTCGAAGTGGTGGTGGAAAGTAATTTTTTGGTTATCAAAGGGTTTTCTATTTTTGGTTTAACCATGCTATTTTCATTTAAACACTTTTTGGTTACACTCAACGTTCGTTGTTTATTTTTGTTTTGTACACATTCATTGCACCTAAAACAAAAACACACACAACTAAAATTCATTGGATTCTATTCTATTTACCCGTGCAATTTTCTCTAATTGATTTTACTTTTGTATTTGAAATTAACACATTACACATACACACATACAAACACTTACATTTTGTGTAAGTACTTTTCTACTAAAAACACACCCAAAATGTATTCTCTTTCACAACATTAATCACCACCTCGAATATTCACTAATTGCAATATTTTGCTTTATTTCTGTTCTAATTGTTTTGAACTAATGAACACACACACACACACCCACCCATATGTACACACACAAATTACTCTTGGTTGGATTTGGCTACACTGACACACACACGCACACAAAAACTGAATAAATGAATGTGAACGACGAATCGCAATTGGATTTGTGAACTTGAAATTTATAGGTCGCGACTTAGTGATTCCGGCGCAACCAATAAAATCAGCCTCACTCATTGCTGTGGCCGTCGGTGGTGTTATACTGTTCTTGCTGATCATTGACTTTGTTTGCTGTCTGACGCTTCACATCGGTGTGATTGCAACATTGTGCCGACGCAACAAACGAGCCCCATCCGAATTGGACGAAGAAACGAAAATCGGCAGGTGAGTTAGATTGTGTTTCATTTCACTATTTCATACATACAAACAAACTAAATTCGCCAACATGAAAAGAAATTGGAAAAGACGGTTTGTCCTCTTTGACATTTCTTCATTGTACAAAAATCCATGCAAAAATTTCTCAATCAATTCACTCTCACAACACTTTCTCTATCTGTCGCACTTCTATCAACTCAATCATTCATGATTCACTCTCATTCTTCATACGGCTGTAAAATGGATCAGAAATTTCAAAAGTTTTGTAGAAAATCTCCTCTTTTGCCAATAGATACATTTGTTTTTGTCCATTCCGCTCATTCGTTTTCGTGCAATACAATGCAAGAAAAATTCAGTCTTGAAATGAAAGTCGAAAAACCGATAAAAACCAAGTCGAAACCAATTTTTTCTTCATTCCCAAACCAATTTAACTATGTATAGTCTTTACGGCTGGCGTTTCCCGCTACCCTCGCCTTTACCTTATTGCAGCGGACAACTTGTGAAGGAACCACCACCATCACCATTACCATTGCCACCACCACTCAAACTTGGCGGATCACCAGTCACCACACCGTAAGCATCAACAACAACCCGCTGTGCTCGATGTTCTTTCTTTTTTCGGTTCTTCTTTCGTTTTTTGATGTGTGCTTACGTTGTATCTCTCTTTCGTTCTTATCAATTTTGTTCGACTTAGTTTTTCTTTTCCCCGTTTCGTTGAGTTGCTGTTTTTTTTAAATCAGTTTTTGCAAATATGTTCAAGACAGTATCGTAGCATCCTTGATGCATATTTTTTTGAGTTATTTAACGATTTATGTTTCAAAAGTGTTTTTTGTCTGTTTATTGATGAGGCCAGCAGAGGAGATTGCATTTATCTTTGATCACAACTGAAAATGAGCACAAATTAAGACGCGCTCTATGTCTCAAATGCACTTCCATTATGTCGTTTACAGTAGCACAAAGCGATGAAAACTTAACCTTGGAGTACAGTTCTTCTCAGAATTCGACGAAACACGAATAAAAAAAACAAGAGCCCAAGTACTTTGTATATTTAAATTTAATCAAGCTTCGGTTTGATGCAAAGAGCAGTTATTTTCTTTGTAAATTTGTCTGTATATTTACACATTGTTTGCATCAAAGATGCATTTTCACTCAGTATTTTTTTTGTTGCGTGACGCCATTTCGACGACTAATAAAAAAGCGTGCTCAAAATCATATAACTGTGTCGAATCAGTTTTTTGTTATGCGCCGGAGAATCGTTTATTTTCCAGCGACGAGGTCTTGTTAATCTTTTTTTGCAGAAAATGAAGAGAAAAATATTGCAGAAAAACGGTTGCATATAATAATGGAGTTGGAACGCGATAAGTGCATCTCCACAGGATGGCGCATTTTTTTTCGTTCATTTCCGCATTTCATTTTTATTTCCAACGATTTTCTTTTGTTCATTTCTCCGTCAACCAGTTTTTACTTACAAATAACGCATTTTTTGTTTTCTCCACAGGGACGAGCACGAGCCACTGAACGATTGTGATTCGATGAAGAAACCGTTGTCCGTTGAGTATGACGGTCGAACCGTTCATTCCCGAAGCGGTGACTTTGTCGGCAAAAACTCAGCGGTGTGAATGTAAAGCGGACACCTGCAACAACGACCTAATGGGATTACAACTGTTAATTGAATGACTTTTGATGGAAAAAATTCTAAAAAAATAAGAAAGAAAAAGAATCGACAAAGAGAAAATAAATTTATGTATGATAAACGCAGCAGCAACGCTAAGAACACAAGAAAAAAATAGACAAAAAAAACATCCATTTGCTAAATGTGAACAATTCAAAATGCAAACAAGAAAAAAAATCATGTAATAAATGTAAACGTTAATATTTAAGAGTAGCTATGAATAACAATAATTTCGATGTCAACATTTACCAAAGTAAGACTATCAAAGGAAAAGAAATATGTGTCATTGCATGCAGCAAATTCATACGTAATCAGCGAACGATCTTGATTGGCAGTTTGATTTTGCCATACAAACCAAAAGCATTCTCATTCACAATTGATTTTAAATTAAATTTTGTTTTCGCCAATTTTTTTCTTTCTTGAATAAGTTCCAATTAACTAAAAGAAAATTCGAGCGTAATTGTCACAAAACACAAAAACAATCCCAAAACAATTTATTAGTTAAGTATCGGTTAATATGTATCGTCTCTAGCTGTAAATTGTGTCTAATTAAGGGAATTTTTTTTACGTGAATTGGATTTAAAAAAAAAAACAAATTTAGTCTTGGCTTGCTTAAGACACACAAAGCAAGATCAGTTTACTTAAAAAAGAAGAAGAAGACGGTGTAAGCGCGAAAACGCCAACATTTTATTGTTAATAATTGACAAGTAATATAATTAATTTCATATTTTTTTCTTTGTCTTTCACGTTTAATTGTTATATGTGTCTAAATATCTAATTCCATTCCGTTTGAATAATAAGCTAGAGACCAGAGCGAGAGGTATTACTAAATAAAATGAAGGAATACGAAAGAAAAAAATAACAAACAGATAAAATAAACCAAATTTCATAATTTATCCTACGTGTAGCTGAAGTAAGTGACGAGAAAAGAAGCCAAAAAGAAAGAAATAGAAATATTAAGTCGATGCATCCATTGTGTGATTTCGTTTTCGTTTCTCTCACACACTGTGTGAACTCGGGATAAATAAATTCACCGAGCCGAACTGAACTGATATCAATGAACAATTATTTCACGAAAACGTACTTACTAATCATACTTCCCTGGTTACAATCACTATAATTTCTCTGATAGTGGATGTTAATTTCAATTTTGCTCATGGCCAAACTACATCCATTTTAACAGCAGATTCCATGCTCTGCATTTTAATTGTGTATCTTTGGTCATGGCTCAGTCGATCAAAGGATTTATTTTAAATGGATCAAAAAGATGTAATCTCTCAACTTATACGCAAATTTTATGGAAACTTACCATGTTCACAATTTCCATCATTTACCTTTAACCAAGCAACGCCATTACTTTATGTGCCATTGAATATTCGCTTCAAACCATATAAATATTTACATTAAGTTCTCCGTCACATGACAACAATACCCGTTTCATTTTTTTCGTCGATTTTTTTTTTGTTCATTGACAAAATTCCAAAGATAATTCAAGCCAATTTTATTCCGTAAATATGATTTTCACTGAATAATTTTTTATTCCATATTCAAAACTGCCTTATTTGTCTAAATATGCTAAATGTGTTATACAACAAATTCTGCAAAACGGTATAATTCCAAACAAATCACCAAAAACCGAATTTTCAAACTATTTTCCAATCTTTGGTCTGATTTTATTCCATTTTTTTGTCTGCAATTTTTTTGGTGCGAAAATCGGACAGTTTATCAATTGAAATTTTTTAACAAAAAATTATGCAAAAACTTACTATCGATAATAACCGCATCTATATTCAATTTAAATTAATGAAACGGGCGAATTCAAACCAATTTTTAGTCGTTGGTCCAATGCGATGCAATTTTATTCCCACAATTCGGAAATTAGTCAAAAGAAAAACACCAGGGAATGTGGCCAAGACGAACGATTGAACGTTTGTTTGCTTTGTTCCGTTCTTGCTTTAGTTAAACACATATTTGCTATACAAATATAAATTGTGAATTTTTTTATATATTATTTACTCAACAACAACAACAACACAATGGAAACGGTAATAATTTTGACTTAAGCAAAATTTTATATTACGTATTATGATCAACTGACACGTGAAACGAAATAAAAGAAATAAATGAAAAACAAAACACGAGATGGACATGGATATTTTGAGTTGAGTTTCGATTCTTGATATATCACAATGAAGTAAAGAAGATGTAAACTGATATTGAGTTAATCCCATTGAGAAGATCATAGGCAAAAATGGTGTTGAAGCCGATCACGTAAGTATTGATCACTTCGCGAGTGTCCCGAGGGGTCAGTTAAGCCTATCAAACGGTTACCATTGAAAATATATTCACGACACTTGAGTTTCAAGTCACTTCACTTACTTACCTTTCCCTACTTGATGATGTCTCTTCGTTTGTGAAAGAGGTTGGTGTTGCACAATCAGTACATAAAATCAAGAGATTCCCAAATAAATAGACCTCTCACTTTTGCATAAAAAATAGATTTATTCATTTTATCATCTAAACTGTTCCTGTTTTTTTTTCGGTATAAAGCTGCTCTTCAATTACATTTCAAATTGTGACTTGTTTGAGATACAAAAAATGATTTCCGATTTTACGAGATTTTGAAATAATATAAATTGAAAATAGATGAATATTTGTGTTCAATTGTTCGTTGAAAAGAATCGCCCTGAGAAAGAGCTTCTCTAAACATTTAAACTTCCATCCCGTTTGCGTCTGATCTCCGGCCCTCTTTGCGTAATTTGGCCTCGGCGTCTAGTTTGGGCGTTTCAGTCCGGGTATGCCAAACATAAATCTCACGGCAAAAATTGGCTAGCGGCTGTAAATCACGAACAACCACCAAATATCTGAGTATTTCACTTTCTTGATAGCCCCGTTCCACATCAAAGCTAAACATTGCATCGGGATATTTGAGCATTAGATCGGTTGAAATGGCAAAACCGGCCATGTCGATAGGAAACGGTCGTTCGGGCCTCCACTGTAAAAGGGAACACAAAATCAAAAATTAGAAAGAAAAGTTTTCATTGTCAAAGCCATAACCTCAAAATTCTGAACAAAAACACCAACTGACCGCACTATTGAATCCTAAAACACGATGGTTGTCATCAAGAACGGGCTTTTCCACTAATAACCCACCAACAAGTCCGACTGGCCACACCGCCACTTTCCCTGACTCAATCTTTTTGATCTCTTCGAATAATTCGGTGCCGTAAGTATTGTCGTCGTCCATAAAATAGATCGCTGAACGTGATTCTGGTGTGTAAATGACGTTGTTTCGAACCCATTTCAGTGCTTCGTTTCGTTGAGCGACACCTCTGGGCTTGGACCATGACGGATCTTTACGCTACAATTGAAATAATAAGTTGGGTCATTAAATTAAACACTTCAACAAGCCATCGACGAACAAAAGGCTTGGTGTGATTTGAACAATTTATACCTGCAGCTTGAAATCGCTAGGCGTTTTAGCGAAGAGCAATGTACTTCGATGGGTCAAGCCTTTCTTCTCCAGTAAATTCCGCACCAAATCGGAGTTTTTATCAGCGTCTTCGACAATAATCCAATGTACAAACGGCACGAGCAGTAATGTTTGTGCTAGTCTAAGACCGAAAATAAGAGGTAAATATTCACAGGCTGGGGAAAAAGTATCGAAAGCAGTTTATTTTTAACAAACCTAGTGAGCTCTGCTTTTTGTACTGGTCGTGCATAAGTGGGTGTGATTGCATAGACGGTAAATGGTTGTGAATTGAATAATGATTGCTTCTTTTGTGACACCTGTTGTTGATATGCATCTGCGACGATTGCATTTTTTGCGTCATTTGGACACTCCGGCGTTCGCAAAAATGCCAAATAAAATATAAGAAAAAACACTGTGGCCGATCCAATGACGAATGGCTTAAATTTCATATGAATTTCATTCATTGTGTGGCAATTAAATCAAAACACCGAAACGGAACTAAATTATTTCACACGTAGTTGTTCTTATCTAGAATTCATCACAATTTTTTTTTTGTTCTATTCAGTTGTGGTTAAAGAATATATTGCAATTGACTTAAATGCGAACAATGATCTGCATGCGATAAACAAGCACGCTAAAATGCCAATGTAGCAATGCGTGTAGATGAGAGACAATTAAGCGAAGCGTCGTTGACGTATCGTGTAATGTGCTTTGTGATTTTTCTTGGTATTTAACTTTGTTTACATCATCACAAATCAGGTTTTGCTTACAGAACTAAAGTTCAAATGACTTTAATTGCCGCGACCAATGTGCATATTCACTTGATTGTATGGCTATCGTTGAGTTCAATGAATTTTTGAACTACGAAAATTTGAGGCAAAAAAAATAAAAAACAAAGAATTTAACTGAATCGGCTAAAAATACTTTCATTTTTGATGATTGTTGTATTTTTGTTCGTCAAAATTAATCAGTGAAAGGGAATACTACCGCAGCTACCGAGTTTGACGTTTGCTGAGAGACGGCTACCAACGAACTGTCAACGCACCAATACACCCAAACGACTGTTCACACAGACATCGACACAGTCACACCGCGCTATATATAATGCGTAAATAAAATGTCAAACCGTCGCTCAATACACGAGAATAATCAACTTTCATTCTGTTATCAGAATACGAGTCCAGTAAGCCGTCAAACGGAGCCACTAATAGCAATATTCGTTCATCTTTGTTTGTTGTTCTCTCTCATCTAGCTAATAAAAATAACCTTCATTCCGAAACACAAACGGGTATTATATAAAAGTGTAGACGTTTTTTTCTTCTTCGAAGCAGCCGAAAGAAAAGTATATTGATACTGTGAAGTAAGCCAAAATATACGACTTTTTACCCAGCAACTCGGTAAATATTATTTCGGCTTTGTTTTTTTTTCATGCAACGCAAACTGCTAGACTTTTTGTGAAGAAAAAAATTCTAATGAATATTCTTGTTTTCTTCTTTTCAATAGATTTTTTGAGGTGGCGACAGTGAAGCAGAAGGAATTTTCGTGAAAATGTCGGGCTTAAGTAAAATGAAAACATTGCCGAAATTGGTGATGACAACTTCACCCTACCGGTATGTCAATCGATATCCGCACTTTTCACCGAATTTAAGATTATTACCTCTATTTGATTTGTACGCAATTGTACTTGATTTCGGTGTGTGTTTGCGTGTGTGTGGGGTCTATTTTTATTTTGTGTACCGTTGATCGTCATCGTCGCCAAACAAAATAACTCACTTGCATAATAAACATTCTCAGCTGATAACCGATTTGGTTTCGAGTGATTTTCGCATTTGCCGCATAAAAAAATCACAACGCACAAACGATAACACTTGAACATAGCAATTGTTTTTTTTTTTGTCTGTGTTATATTATAGAAGAGCTGCTCTTAATTTTTTTCTGTATTTATTGAGATAGACTAAGATAAGAAGGCGGGGCATCAACAATTGATTCAATAACAACATTTGTTTTTTCGTATGTTCGTCATTCAATATGATGATTGTCAAGTAGTTAATTTCAGTTAAATTGCCACCATCGAATTGTTATCTCGCCGGCTATTCTATCTTTTTCTGTGGTTCCCAATTTTGTTTACGTATATTTTAAATGAATTTCATTTACAATTATTTACAGTACATTGGCGACGTCATCGGCTTTGTCGAAGGATGATTCGTGGTTGAGCAAATTGTTGGTGCGTAAAATTGAACCGACCAAAGAGTCGCACAGCCGAATGTTGAGTGACAAAGAGGTAATTTACGCGCTTCACACCCACAATGTACGACCGGATTCCAAACTGGAATATTTGGATAATTAGTAAGTGTTGGAATCTGCTTTGGATCAAAGCCTTGAAAATGTAGAACATTTTTCTAATCAAAATCAATTCCATATTTTTCTAATAGTAAGAAGACGACTGCGCTGATTCATTCGAAGAAAGATGACATCTCGTCCGACTTGATGGGATCATGGACGGTTCATGTGGGTGATATGGATCAGTGTTTGCACTTGTGGAAATACACCGGAGGCTTTGAGAAAATCGATGCTGCTCATCGCATTCTAGAAAATGATAAAGTAATTACTTTAGGCAAACAATTGTTTGCCCAAAAGTCGCCACCTTTTTACGAAAATTCGATTGTAATTCTGTTTCTTTTGATTTCGATTTACTTCAACAGGACTATCAAGCACTTGAGAAAGAGCGTGGAGTTTTGTTGCGTTCACGTCACTTGCAATACATGTTGCAATTCTCATACTGGCCTCAAATCAAAATGCGAGATCCATCGCACATTTATGAAATGCGTTCGTATCGCTTGAAACCGGGCACAATGATTGAATGGGGAAACAATTGGGCCAGAGGCATTCAGTATCGTCAAGCAAACGATGTACCATTTGCTGGATTCTTCTCGCAAATCGGCCGATTGTACAATGTTCATCACATTTGGTGTAAGTTCACAAATTGTGAATCACAAAATACTTTCATTTTTGTTAATTAAAATTCAAATATGTGCACATGTGATAATCCATGGATTATCTGCAGCATTCAATGGGTTTGCTTATTAAACTAAAGTTAATGCCGATGATTCCTATTTTCAGGCTACAAATCACTGCAAGACCGTAAAGAAAGCCGTGAATCTGCCTGGCGTGCTCCTGGCTGGGATGAATGCGTTGCCTACACCGTTCCATTAATCAGGGAAATGCACACGCGCATCTTGAGACCAACTGAATTCTCACCCACCCAATAATTTCACCAGTTTCTTTGATGATTGTTTACGTCTAAATCTAATTTGGAATTGCGTCAAAAGCACAGTCAAATTGCATGTAATCCAATTGCATCGCAATCGCAGATTTATTTTCTGTGGAATTCTTTTTTTTTTATCTTATAAAAATTTTGATAATAACAACTCACTCTTAGTGATACCTGTAGCTCTCACATACACACACAACATATGAGGCTGTGAGAATGAAAATGGCAATACAGGAATAAACATTCTGAAGCGCATCAAGAAAAAAAAATTCGCAAAAGTGAATCATGAGTTCTGAATACGCAAAAGTGAACCATGAACCTCCTATGCTGCCCATGTAAATTCATGTTTCACTTTTGCATATTCAGAACTCATGATTCATTTTCGCGAATTTTTTTTCTTGATGCGTTTCAGAATGTTTATTCCTGTATTGCCATTTTCATTCTCACAGCCTCATATATCGTCTATCTTCAATTAAACTCTGATTTTTAGATTGAAGTGAAAGTCACTCTTTAGAACTGATTAAAAGTCAAGCATTTATACACCACCTTTGTTCTCATGCAACATAGACATTTATTTGATGTGAAAAAAACAGGATACAAAAAGAACATTATTTGTTACAAAAAAATAAATGGAATTTAATAAAATACTATGTAAACTGGGCTTTCTGAATACATGTTCAAAGTAATTACTGGGATTGAAAGAAAAAGAAGTAGTTCGTGCGAATTAAGGATTAATTATTTGTCAACAACAAGCCATTTAGAAAATCTAAAACAAACTTGAAATCAAGTAAGCAATCGCAATGATGAAGAGCACAAACAGGATATATTGAAAGAAAATTGTGGGTCTATCATCGACACGTTCAATCATACCAACATCTTCCATGATTTCCTTTTCAACCATTTTGGCACCGGCCAAAACAATTGGTACGCCCGTTCCTGGTTGCGTCGAAGCTCCAACGAAGTACAAATTCTTGAACAGATGACTTCGTATTTTTGGTCGAAGTGCCAACACTTGAGTGATATTGTGCGATAGTCCAAGAATAGATCCTTTCCACAAATTGAATTTGGCTTGCCATGTACGTGGGTCATTGATTATTTCCGTCTCGATGAGCTCCTCAAGATTGCCAATCTTCAAACGCGCTTCAATGGTTTTAATGACTCTGGCTCGTGCAATTTTCAACAATTCATCGATGCGATTTTCATTCTCCGGTGTGATATGACTGATAGGCAATAGCACGACAAGTGTCTCTTTACCTTCAGGCGCAGCTGCACTCATAGAAAAACGATAAATAGGTCAATTGACGTGATTATTTTTATTCATAGATAAAATATAATCGCTATTGCGACTTAAAAGTACCTGATGGGTCGATACGCGACGGAACATTAATATAAAATGATGGATCTTCGGGCAAAAGGTGTCTCTTGAATATGTCATCGAAACTGCGACTGTACGCTTCGGCCAAGAAAATGTTGTGGACATGAAACTCTGGCATTTTTCGCTTCATTCCCCAGTAGAATGAAATCGACGATGACGTGAATTGGCTGTCTTCGCCCAGACTTTTTCCGTATGGTGTAGGTGGCAATAGTTTATTGTAGGCGTAAACCAAATCTAAAATGTAATTATTTTTACAATGAGATTTGTACTTGAAGAAAAAAATCAAACTACAAATGTCATCCGAAAAAGAAAACCATCTATTCAAAGTTCAACGTTTTTTTAATCGTCAATTGACGTCGATTACCTGCATTACACACGACCAAATCTGCATACTTTTCTTCGCCATTTTCCAAGCGAACACCTTTGACCACCTGATTCTCATCGACAATGATCTTTTCGATGCCCGTATTGTATACGAATTTCGCATCAAATTTTTTCGTCGCGATTTTCTCCAACTCTTCGACCACTTTATGGAATCCGCCACGTGGATAGAAAATTCCCTCGGCAAACTCGGTATACGAGAGAAAACTGTAGGGAGCTGGTGCGTCATAAGGTGACATACTAGATAGGGATATTTTTCATAGAGAAATAAACAAAAAGGAAAAAATGTATTTTAAGGTAATATTAAACAAGAAAACAAACATAAGATAAGACTGATTGGCGCACTTACCCGATATACATTGATTGAAATGTGAATGCTTTGCGCATTTTGTCGCTGAGGAAGAATTTTTTGGTGCGATTGTAAACGGTGTCCCACAAGTGGAGTTTGAAGAGATTTGGAAGGTGCTTCAGTTGAAATTCATCGTACCAATTCGGAAAGCTGCGTCTGAGTGCAATGTCAACACTACGTTCGTAATGGATGTGTGTTTCTTTCAGGAAATCCATGAATCTCAATACAGTTTGTTCATCGTCACCCTCGTAGTTTTTCAGTTGTTCACACATCTTGGCCAAGTCACAGCTCAGCTCAAATTGGTCGCCATCATGAAAATGAACCAAATAATTGGTTTCACATTTCAGCAAATCCAAATGGTCGGACACCTTTTCGCCGAGATCACTGAACGTTTCCTCAAACAATTTTGGCATCAAATACAACGATGGCCCTTGATCGAATCGATGCCCATTTTTGTGGATCAACGATAAACGTCCACCACTAAAATCGTTTTTTTCATAAACCGTCACATCGAATCCTTGATGCGCCAAACGAGCAGCCAACGACGTACCACCCGCTCCCGATCCAATAATTATCACTGACTTACGTTTCGCTGACATTTCAAATGAATAAAAAATAATCACACTGTGTTTGTTCGTTTTCTTTCCAATAATAAGACACCGAAAATTTGATACTTTCACCTCGACTGCAAGTGGAATAATGTGAAGCTCTACAATCGACCTAGAGTTTTAACGAAGCGTGTTTGTTATTGTAGTTGTTGCCGCCTTTGTCTGTAATTCAATGGTGAGAATAAAAACAAAAACAGTAAAAAGCTTCGAAATTGGTTCGACACATTGATATATTTTAATGAATAACGCACAAGAAAGGTAGATAGCAAAAACATACGAAGCGTATGTCAGCACTTACAACTGAACAAAAACAAATTCGTTACCTGATACGACGCATTTGTCTAACTTCTTACGATTCTATTTTTTTTTTCTTCTAGCAAAGTCGATTAGAAACAGCGAATTTGTGATAAGAGCAATCGACAATTTTCTTCGTTATCTCAATTGCTCGTACTGTCTATTCGTGTCAATTGTGCGAACTGTAAAACGCAATGTATGCGATTTTAGCGGTGCGAATGTAAACGGTTTCCATGCGATTTATCACGGTAGACCTGATTGATATGTTATCAGTTAAAATATGAACTTATCATAATAGCTGTGATCATTACGTACACATAGACACAACCAGTTAACCAGTTATAGTGTGGCAAAATTGAAGGGAAAAAATGGAAAATGTAGTGGCATTTAAGAGGGTGCATTGCATACCGATGCCACTTCAGTCTGAAAAACAATTCTTTTCGAAATACTATCGGACAAAACTTTGCAAACAGTTTCTATTGCAAATTTTATGGTGTTATTGATTTAGCAATCAAGATCTGGCCGTTATTCATGATTGACCGCTCTAATTGAGTGCAAAAATATTGTTCAATGGATATCATTCGTGTTGTGTGTGATCGATCGATATTCGTGTCTTGACCACTAAATTTCTATATGAAAAAGATAGCGCAAACAATTTTTCTATCTTATTGACACCTGAATCGTCTCGATTGAAACAAGTGCAATTCTGTGTCGTGATTACAGTGAACTGATAGTTGAAATTGGGTGGAGGAAAATTCAATTACGCGCGTGATAGACGCAAGTCGTTAATTGGCTTCACGGAATTCGGACACCGAAACCATATTCATTTTTAAAGTGCGTGTTTTGCGACAACAATTTCAGTTTTCTTGGCGTTTTCTTTGGGGTCGTTCGCTCCATTTCTAGCATAATATTCTTATCTTATCAATTTTTGTGGTAAATCTTATTTTTAGTCAATGGCCTATTTTTGTGCGATAGACACCGAATCGGAAACGTTCTGTAAAAGTATTCAAAACTGTAGGTTTCAGTGAGCAAGAACAATTTCGACTCGGTTTGGTGTGTTGTGCTATTTCGCTTATTTTAATTTAAACCATTTTTTTCCTTTTCTAAATTCTTTTTTTTCAATTGTGCTTCATTTGCAGTTCTATCGCAACAAGTCAGCTTTAAATTCTGTCTGAAAATGTTGACCTATCTACAAGTTCACATTTATTTCACGCTGCCGCCAACAATAATTCTTTATATGTTGATGCGACCTCTAATCGGCAGTTTTGATAAGATTAAAATCGTG